AGATCATGACTAACGCCTCTTCATCACCAGCTTCGCTGGTGTCGTCCCTAGTCTCATCTTCGTGATCTTCTGCGAAGTAGAGCGACATGTTCTTTTCATCCGAGTTGGTGTTAACGAGTGGAGAAGGTAAATGTGTGCTGCTCGACCCGTTTGAACCGGATCTCGAAACCCGGCCATTGTGCGGCAGCTCAGCCCATGCCCAGAAATCTTTCGTTAAGTCGCCAGGTCGGCTGAAAGCTGCGGGGGCTATGTTCTGCATTTGCGCAGACAGCGATGAGCGCTTGGGCTCCCACCCAAAATGCTTGCCGATGGCTGCAGCAAGCCCTGACGTGGGAGCTTTCAACTCCATGATCTCACACGGTATCCTCTGTTCAGAAGATGATGTAGCAAGCGAGACGACGGAGTAATCGAGATACACATGCTGTATGCTAGGACGGTGTGCGAGGAAATTGATGATGTCGTTGTAGATGGGACACGTGGCGTCGGAGCATGTTTCGCTTGCTGTCGTTACAATGACAGCAGTTTTGCTGTCTGTCAAACATGGAGACCATGACGTAAATCGGGATGGATGCGATGTTGACTCTGCTGCGTCGATAATGTCGTTTAAAAGAGTATTCATAGCGGCATAGGATTTTGTGTGAGGCAGGATGTCTTCTTTAAAGGTGAGTGCGACGATGCACACTTCGACAAGTGACGGCGTGGACTCAGCAATATGGGCGGTTTGGTCGCGATGTTTGCATGTCTGACAACATGGGTACGACATCTCGGTGGTTTGGGAAAAGGCTGGTTCAAACAGTGAGGGTAGCCGTTTTGCGGACTTCGATTAAGGCGCAATGGATATCGATTTTCCTTTCAGAATGTTGGGATCGTATTGACAATGCTTCGTCCGAGTGGGTGGTTCTGGTTGTGCAGTTGAAGGTAAGACAAAGGTTAGCGACAGACTGACAAAACTGGAAATGCAGAAGATGATAGTAGTGCGATTTTTGAGATGAGACGAGTTTCGTCTGGCAGTGACATATATGAGATAGAGGGCAATGGCAACTGCGCCGAATGCGGTTAGCTTGAGTGTTCCGCGTGCGTTTGTGCACTGCCTCTTGGATTTGGCACGGATGCGTAAGGTATATTTAGCACTCCAGAATGATGGCAACCTGCAGCTGTACTGACACTGCAATCAGTTGGTTGACGTCTCTAGGATTGCGCGGTCTTCGTCACGGACTGTCACACCTGACCGAAGGTGTGCGTACGCAATTGAGTAAGACGCGACAAGCTGGTGCTGGGTAGCAGACCAAATCAAAGAACGTCTTCGCCATGTTCATGGCGACGGATAGACTAGAGCGGCGCGAAGGATCCCCAATTACAGTAGGGCCGGAGAGCGGCAAGCTTGGAAAGGCAAGGTGGAGTGTGAATTTACAAGCCGTGGAGGCCTTGCCTGTGTGCAGCTGTGCTAGACCGCAAAAGGCGCGGGTCTTCCTTTGCCAACCCATTACGCCGAATCACGACACTACAAGTCACAAACTCATCGCGCTGCAACAGACCGATGTGGAGTTCTTTAACAACAAAACGAAAGGTCCAAAATAAGAGTGAAGGGACGGGCAAGTATGCGTCGTCTGACGAAAAAACAATGAGCGAAACAACAGGACAGTTGTACGCCTGAAATAACTACAAATGGACTGAGCGCGCAGTTGGAGATGCGTATCCTGAGCAGTTGAACGACAACATAAGAATGGCAAATTGGGTTGATAGGTTACATTGGTTTCGCTACTTCCTAACTCAGCTGTGAATTGGGATTGTGGAGTAACCGCATTCCAAGTGGGTCCTTGATTGCTGTTCATGAGGCGTGCAAGACACAGCCCCATTCGATGCCGCCGGGTGAAGCACGATATAGTTTACGAATACGATTCAACATGTCACTACACCTGCCTTTTCCAATTTCTATATTGCTCCAAGGATGCGCCGTGATTTCATACTTCAAGGCCACCCATTTCAGCTACCAACTGCTGCGCCCTGCCAGCACCGAGGAGACATTTAGCACGATGCAGGATGACAACAGGGAGGGCTCTGGTCAGAGTGATAGAGGACTGGATGGCGCAGACTTTGCGGATTTGCAGCTCTTAAGGCGACTGTGCAGCTCATCAGCCCCGCTGCTCTTTTGTTCTCTACTACTCGAATTCTTCAAATTGTCAATTCTCGATCTGAGTCTGACAAGGTACTGCAGTCGTGTAGAGCTCAATCAACGGCGATAAGATTATGCTCGATCTTACCGACAAGCCTATACAGACTACATAGGTGCTGACCTACCTTCCTGCTACTACAGTAGCTGCTAGCTGCATGATGAGCTCGCACAAGTTGTCGAGGCGGGCAGACCCATCACTCAAGGTTTCGAGACAGAACTCTCAGCAAAGTCTCCCTCACTGAATCTTCGGCCAACCACAAGCTCAAGTCTGCAGTGAAAGTTTGAGTAATTGGTATTCAAGGAAATAATATTAAATAAGTTATGTTCATGTCTCATAAGCTTGAGCACTTCAAGCTATTCCGGACTTAGTTGCTCCGTCAATTAAAAAAAAACCCCCATGTAACCGCATAGAGGTGAGCAAGCGTAAGCCTACGCTGCTGTCACAAACCAATTAACTCGTCAGATGGTCAGACCTTGGTAGCACTGCTATGCTTAGGGCCAAAGACATCCTCAAGGAAATCGTTCCAGATCTGCCTTGCCATGCCCTCGGCCTCCTCCACAGGCTTCTGCAGGTTCTTTGTAACCTTCGAAGCCATGCCTTGAAAGTCGATATGGTTACTCTCGGTCATATCAGCCATTGCAGACGGCGCATGGATGTGCGTGCTATCGGCGGCGGCAGTGTAGATGGTAGGTTGCATGACCTGCATGATCAGTCCAAAGCTCTCAAACTAAGCAGTGGGCAGAAGTACCGGCTGATCGGCCTCCTCAGCAACAGCAGCACGTGTGGCCGAAGATGTAGGAGTCGACAGGATGATAGGTACGTTGATCTTGGTAGGTGCAGCCTTCATATCGGGGTCGAAGTCTGGGATATACATGAAGTCGATGGTAGAGCTGTCGTTGACAGCCTTGAGCGACCGACTTGTGTTGAAGTGACGCAGAGCATTGCCCGTCTCGTGCTTCCAGGCAGCGGCCTCCGAAGAAGGAAGCTTGGGACTCAGCGAGCCGAAAGTGGGCTTGTCTGATGTGAGGAGCGAGGATGAGCTTGTCGCACCAGTCTCATGCAGGCTGCGAGTCTGGGTTTTGAGAAGACGAGGTCCCTGCGTCTTGAGAAGGCGGGGGCCCTCAGTCTTCAAGAGGCGCGGGCCCTGGGTGCGAAGAAGGCGGGGTCCCTCAGTATGCATGTTGCGAGCCTGGGTCTTGAGCAGGCGCGGTCCCTCAGCAGTGCGCAGCAGACGGGGTCCTTCAGTCTTGAGAAGGCGGGGACCCTGTGTATCAAGAAGGCGGGGTCCTTGTGTGCGGAGAAGACGTGGGCCAGACATGATGTTGTGTAGATTGTGTATGTTGGTGTGTTGCGGTGTGATGCAAGAGAGATGGGCAGGAGCGGGGAGAGCAGGTGCAGATAAGCACTGTAATTAAGAAGACGCTATTATATGCAGTGGAACCGGCTTGACTGGAATGTCACAGAGGGCAGAAAGGTGAGGCTCGGAACGAGTCGGAAGTTTGCAGTCAGGTGAAGCCGGAGGTGAGGAGGAATGGTGTAATGGTCGATTGAGCACCGAGGGAACTCGCGGTTTTGAACTCACCTCGGTACCCTAGCCCTTCCTGGCTCCTTCCCTTACACAGGCGGTCAACACGCTGGCGTGAGATGCCAATTGCCTTGCGCGCGCGCTAGGTCTTCATAAAACACGCATTCGTAATTGGCTTGATCAGCAATTCTGGACACAGCAAGCAAGCTGGACGTCTCAACATGGATGTGCATAGAGCTCGGGCCCACTGAATGCGCATGTCTAACGCTGGAATGGGCTTGGTTGTTACCCGGGCCAATGGTAGATGATCCACTCCACAACTAAAGATGGCACCCCGCACTTTCAACGCTGTTCTGAAGCAAGAGTGATGCGTTCGGAACACCTGAGTCTCACGCGGCCAATTTATGGCTGCTCATTGCTCGCTCCGTAGGCTTGACTGGTGTCTGCCTGTCCACAGCGAACTGACGGCTGCTGCAGCCCCAGCAACAAAGTCGGTGTGCGTGGCGATCAGATCTGTTGACCTCGCGCACGTACAATGCCACAAGGGGTCCTCGCGAATCGTATCACCAAGCCTACGCCGCGGTGAGGATGGTAATGCTTGTGTACTCCCGCGGGTGCGTCCCTGAAGATCGGGTCTCCGCCCGAGCGCCGTATCGCCTCACTAAGATATGACGGGTGCGGTCGCCATAATGCGTTTGAAACTATCGCACTCTGACGATGTCTATCTTGACACGCTATGACTGGTGGAAGCTTTCGTCATGGGGCTTGTTGACTGATAAGGAACTGCTCCACGTCAAGATTCTGAGACTGACGGAGCAAGATCGATGATTTGGCGTGCTGACCTTTCCCGCGGTGACACTAGAATGCGAGGCGTCTCCCGCGGGAGTGCCACGGCAAGAATCGCAAGGTCTTCTCAATAAGGTTTGGCAGCTGGGCAGTGTCAGGAACAAGGCTCGGCGGTGTGAACGGACCAACACAGGGCTTAGCTTGAACGCAGGCATGACCAGGTACAATCGTAGTGACAGCAACACAACAACATGACAGTAGCTAGTTTCAATGAGATATAATTGTGATCACTGCGTTTGCTTGGCCTGTCTGAATGCCAAGACAGGGGTCTTCCAGAGTTCTGTAAGGTTTGCCAAGTCTCCCGAACCCCTTTTTCACGACGAACGTTCCCGATGACCAGGAGGTCGGAGAGACTGCTGTGTGAGCTCGATGAATAACTTTATAAAGCTACGTTGAAAATTTTCATTCATCAATTCTTCTTGAGCTGATATTGACCACAAGCACAAGAAAAAACCGGCCTGGTGGTCTAGTGGTATGATTGTCGCTTCGGGTGTTTCTAAGCCTGAGATATTGTTATCTTGCATGTGACAGGCCCCGGGTTCGAATCCCGGCCAGGCCCGTTCAGTTTTTGCAATTTTTGCGTGATCTTCGGACCCCCCAAGTCTGTCGGAGATGCCCGGAAAGCAGTGTACCATCAGAAATGATGGATCGCGCTCTCTTTTGGGGTGTCGTGCATTAATCGCTGAGCCCATAAGTTGTCTGGGTAATGCCAAAAGTGCGATTTAGCAGCGCGCGACCGTCACTGCTGAAATTCTGCAGCAGCTCCCCAATAACATCGTCGACTGAAAGGCAGGGGGTTTGTTTGAGTTTGGAATGATGCCTCAACAGCAGCATCGGATCCTCTTTGGCGTTCTGTGTTGGCTTTTGGACACAGTGGAAAGTTTCACCAATGAGCATCTTACTCGGTACCACTACACCTCCAAAACCAGAACAATGCTGAAACCAGTGCGTCTTGTTTAATTGGAGCAGCCAGCTTGCACACACTGCGCTTTGCCATCCTTGAAGAGTCATATGGTATCTTGAAGATTGCAATCGAGGAAGGGAAGGATGCTGTGGATGGACCAAGTAGTCTTCTCGGAGCGATATCGATACATTTACGCCGTACCAATTTGAATAGACATACTCCAATTCTTGCTCGCCTTTCATCATGCCAATTTGTTGCTTACTGCACCTTGCCTCCTCTGAGCAAGGAGAGAGTAAGGAAGTAAGTGGACTGGTTAGCTATGTAGCTTTCTTGAGATTCATAAACTTTCAAAAGCGTTCACTCGAAGCTGGCATATTGTAGTAGAGCTGTCATATTGCAGTGATATGTATCCATTCTCGGCACTTCGTCAGCTCTGAGTGGTTATTCGGCAATTACAAAGGATTCTGTCAGTAGACAGGAAAGGGTTTAGGGTTTAGGGTCCAGTAGACTGCGTAGCCCTCTTAAGGGCTATAAGTTTTGAGAGTCTACGCTAATCAAACTTGCCGGACTCCAATTAATATGCTGTCTCGCGGCTTCCTATGTGCTGTAGGTGCCGCATTGATCTAGATGTGGAGCGAGCAATTCATACTCGAGGTGATGCGCAGTACCTTATTGGTTATATGTAGCCATGTGACACTTTCTCATGGATTCGAACGAAGCAAAATTGAGCAGTCAAAAGCACTGACTAAACATGTAGCCATCTTGATAAGTTCAGTACTTACATAGACCATATTGGTTTGACTTCAAGTTCTCAGACTCGGGAGCTACTTGGTCCCTCTATACACCAAACAGCTGCCGATAAGGCGCGATCGCGGCCATGCATAGAACCAGACCTAAGCATTGATGCTCTGCAGAAATATCTCCTCCTCTCCCTCCTTCCAAATCGTAGAATGCGTCATCCCCCGCAACACTCTCAATCGCCCACCTCCTAACCGCTTATCAATCCACTGCGCATACCCCAACGGCGCAATTCTATCCTGATCGCCATGCAACAACCACACATTGTCCCTGTTCTCCATCTCGCCAACGTCAAACCCCCAGCTGCTCGTCAGAATCTCTCCGTCCAACCTCGCACCCCCGTCTCCCTGCTTGAACCCCTCAAGGAATTGCACAACTGCGTCATCCAAATCTCCCTCTTTAGCATCCTGATAGATGAAGGACTTCTCTTCATCCGTCACGCATTGGTCCTCTAGCACACGCTTGAGCCCTTGCGCATCTTTGTTCAAATATGGCGCCAACACGCGCGGCAGCACCAAGTACCTTGCAATCATGCCGACGAGCCACCTGGCCCAGCGCCATCCAAACGGCACAATAGCGTCTAGCGGTCCAATTCCACACACGACCGTTGTGCCGCGTAGGCGTGTCTTGGGGATAAAGCGTGCGCACGCAAGCGCAAAGGGTCCACCTCCACTTGCGCCGATGACGCTGAACTTGTCGATATGAAGATGGTCGGCAAGCGAAAGCACGTCAGAGGGCCAGTCGATTAGATTCCTGGGAGAATAGGTGGACAGACCGTAACCGGGGCGGTCTATGCAGATGAGCCGCGCGTCGAGGCGGTGGCATAATGTATTCCAGGAGCGGCCGCAGATCCGGCTGCCAGGCATGCCGTGGAAGAGAAAAACAACACGGGAAGAAGGGGAGATCGAACCGTAGATTGCATAGCCCAAATTTCGGTGCGATGGGAGAGTGTAGGTCAAAGATTCATTGGGTCGGAGCTTGAGCTTTGAAGGGGAGGGTGGGACGCGTGGTGGGAGCGGCGAAGATGAGGTGAAGGGCCACATGGTGGAAGACTTGACGACTTTCAAGGGATCTTAAAAGAAGACCGAAAACATGTTCTCGAGATGCCTTCTTTTCCCTGGGTATTTACGACCAAATGTTGGATTGTATGTTAGACACGTTCTTCGGTGATCTATATATACCCTTGAGTTTGCGAGTTTTTCCGATAAAGTATTTTAAACGTCAAAAGTACGGAAGGAACCAATACTGTCTGTCAAGAAAGTGCAATCCTCAACTGGGTTTGAGTGCCATCGCGTGACGCACCTACTGTCAGCTTACGCCAAGCATGTTCATGGGATCGCAGTCGGCGGTGCGAAACCGCCGCGATTGTTGCCTGTTCCTCAACTACTTCAACAAGTGGTTCTCATGCAGAGATGGAGATTGCAATCTGTACCTCATGCATGGTCCAGGTAACGTGTATGGGATGTGTTTTCTGCAAGTTTAGGACCTGGTGGTGGAAATCATATTCTTCTTGCAGTATCCAATTGCGGATATTTTCACATAAGAAGCTATCCTATCGTGCTCTACTAACTAAGCGACTTTTTGTCTCGCAAGTATCTGTATTCAGCTATGTTGTCTCCAATTCAGATCTGTCCAGTGAGTCAGCAAACGAACGGTCGTCATCGAAATTCACTCCTTTGACCGCGAACACAGGCACCAGGAAGGACTAGTTTGTATGTGAACAGTCCCATCATTATCATTACTCGAGTTTACCATATTAGTATCATTATCAGTCATTAATCTCTCAAACTATGCAGCCGCAACAGCGACCGCGACAGCGCCCGTAGTCTCGCTGCGCCTGAACATCCTTTTGAAAATACTTTTACGCTTCTCCTTCGCTGGGGAGGCATTAGCAACGACTGCCTCGTCACCGCTCTCGCGTTTCTCTTCAGCTTTCTCGATGATACTTTTTGCCGCCTTTTTGGCTAGCTTCTCTCTCACCACCCTCTCCTGCGCTTTTTCCCAAAACTCCTGCTCGGCCTTGCGATGCTGGACCGCATTCTGATACCAACCATCCCACTCCTCACCGTCCCAGCCGCACCTGCTGCTCCACTTTTCCATCAGCTTAGCGCCGAAGCCTTCTGATTCTGCTCGGGAACAGCTCGGACACAGGGTAGTGAGCGGCAGCAGCTGAGTCGAGGGATTGAGCGTGTTGTAGAAGGCAAAATGCTGTATAGAGAACGGAGAGTAAGGCGTCGAGGAACAGTTCTTCTTTGTGCAGTTGCGAAGCGAATAGCGCCAGTCAAAGCTGTCGCTCTGCCGCGGTTTCCCTTTCGCATCGACTGCAGGGAGAGGGCCAAAGACTCTTTGGCTCTGCATCTGCTGCAAACGCGTGTCCTCGGTCTTTCGAGCTTCTCGATACAGCTGCAAGAAAATCTCGAAGTCCTGCGCAATGGATCCAAGGGTTTTGCGGCCGGCATTCTGGCGCATCGTTTCATACTCCTTCTTACACAGCGCATTTGCTTCCTGCATCTCTCTACTGGCGTGACGCGCACAGTACCCATGGTGTCTCGACAGCCGGTATGGTTCCTGTGCGGCGTAGTAGGTCGGGCCGGCTTGCGCTGGGGTGTAATGCGCTGTGCACATTGCTGCCATACAGGGTACATAGTTGGTCAGCGGGTCATACTTGTCTGGTTGCGACGGCGCAACTGCAGTAGATGGTGGCGATGGAGACAGGTTTGACGCAATAGAGTGATAAGAAGTGGTTCGTTGCGGCGGCGAAGGAGTCCGACTTGGAGGTACGAAGCCTGCAGGAAGAGGTATACCGGACCATCGCGGATCAAGGCGATGGCTGGCTTGAATTGGTACAGCGGGTGCCGAGAATCGCTTATCGACTCGTTGTCGGAGCTGCTTGCCTTGTGATGAGGCACGCGGCGACGCTGCTCGCGGCGAGTTTACCGTATCTCCAGGGGAACTGGCGATGCTCGACCTCTTCGATGCCGAAGAAAGTAGCGGCGGACGTGTGAGGACGGGTGTCACAAGCCTCTTTTGTCGGTACTGGTGTGGTCCTAAGTTAGGTGTAGACAGGCCCCTGGAGTAGCCAGGCCGTGCTGGATAGGATCCGGATACTGTGTCAACGGATCTCCTGGACTCAGTGACTCTCCTTTGAATTGGCTCTGGATCCATGAATCGGACAGTGGGCGGCGCAGACCTCCGATTAAGGTCTGCTCCCACAGATTTCGAATGCTTCAAGTTTGGCTTCATTGATGACCGCTTCAGACCACCAATCGACTCTTCGCTGCTGGCTGACGAGTCCGCGGAATAATGGAGGGAGGACAGACTGGAGCGGCGGGTCGATGTGGGTGTAGTGTTATTGCTCGAGAGCGGAGGCCGCGCTCTAGTAGTGGTATTGCTGCGAGTCATCATGATGTTCTCTGGAAAGTGGACTGAGGATTTGCTGGATTCAACAGTACCGTCAGCGAGGGCGATACGACTCTTTTGAGAAGGTTGTAAATGAGGGGCGGTCTGCATGATGGTGGTTGTATAAGGTGAAACATAGGGTACCATGCGTGCAGGGGTATTGCCAGTGTTCCTCCTGGTCACGCCAGCTGTGACAGGTGGGTTGAGAACCATAGAAGCGGACACGAAGAAATGCTCACATTATAGGGGATCGGAGTCAGTGCTCCTAAATGGGCTGCAATGCAGAAGGAGACGCAGATGACGAAGCTGAAAGACATTGGAGGCAAGGGCTATGCGGTTTCATAAGGCGGGCAAGGCTGCCTTCGCCTGGCCTCAGCAACCAAGACATTCATAGCCGGAAGGCAGAAACAGAAACACCACCCAGAGACACGGCAGACGGGGCCTGAAAGGCCCACTGT